GAGCCCCTATAATCACATGAGCCCAGTCCTTAAAATAAATAATCTGTCTACCCATCCATCAGGTACCTACCTACCTATCTATCCACCCATCCATACATCCTGTTGGTTCTGTTTCTTTGGCCGGGGGAACCGCAACTTAATACAAGGTATCTCAAGGGATGGTCAGGGGGGGTCCGTGTGGCTCTGAAGTTCAAGCAAGAGGAAACCTAGATCATCCCATCCAGTGGTTTTCAAACTTTCATGCAGATGGACTCTTACGCGGAACCTCAGCGAACTTGTGTTAACATTTACTAAATGCTTGCTCTGTGCCAGGCTGTGTCCTGAGCCCTTTATGTGCACATATTATCTCATTTGATCCCCAAAGTAACCCGAGGAGGGAGGTGTGCCATGTGTCGCATTTTAAAGGAGAGGTGACTGAGGCTTTTAGAGGTGACACAACCTGCTCAGGTTCTTACTAATAAGGGACAGAGCCGGGATATGAATCCAGGACGTCCGGGCCAAGTGCAAGACCACCGTCCATCCCGCCTCCCGATACACTTAACTGCTAAAACCACAACTCTTCTGATTAAGGTGGGCAGGGGCTGCAGGGCCCCAACCCCTCAAGCCTTCCCCTTGGATTTCTCCTTTTTCCTCTCTTCTCAGGTCCCTAAGGTACCTCCAAATAAAAAAAAAAAGAAAGAAAACTTACAGTTCAAAATTTTGGATGACAATTTAGAGCCTCTGATCTAGTCCAATCCATCCTTTAGAGAAACTCAAATGCCAGGCCCAGAGAGGTTAAATTTCTCACCCAAGCTCACACAGCCAGGCACAGAACAAGACTAAGGCAAGCCAGGACTAGAACCCAGGGTCTTCCCACCCTACCAGGCTGTCTCCAATGACTCCCAAGAGGTCCTCAGAGGGGAGACGCTGGGGTCCCCAGTGAAGTAACAGAGGACAAAGAGCTCCCTGAAACAAGGTTTCCCCCAAATCCAACCAGTAAGGGCTTCTAGGTAGATTTGTCCCATTGAGAGCTTAACTGTCTTTCCCAAGTGCATCCCACTCTGGGGAAACCGCAGACGACTTCCCCCGACCTTCCAGGCTGATCAGAGGCCTTGAGAAGAGAAGTACACTAAGTCAAACCCCAAATCCAGGCCCAGCTGGCAGCCCTTGGGCTCTTGAGCTGGTATTCTAGTCTCTTCCCTTGGGGTTTCAGCCTTTGGCAAGGCCCTAGACTCCTTAGAGCACTGCCCCAAGGAGCTCTAGGAAACCCACCGTGTGAACGGAGAAGCTCTCACGCAACCCTCAAGACCCAGCCTCTATCTGCGTTCCCTGACAAAGCCCAACAGGAAAATCTCTGCTAAGTCAGAGAGGACCTTTCACACACACCTGTACGTCGTCTTTGCCACCACATTCTGTGATTGTCTGATGGCAGGTCTATGTTCCCAGGTCAGGGGCTGGGTCTTGGCACCAGTTCCTGGCACCACATCCAGCCCAGAGGTGCACAATCATCAAATGCATGCACAGGTGTATGCAGGGGGTTAAGTGGCCACCTCCAGTGGGAGAGCTATGGAGCCCTTAGAGACCCCGAGTGAGTTTCCCGGCCTCCCCCCACCCCCCACCCTCACTGTCTGAGCCTCAGTGAGCATTCTCGGTCCAGCCCCTTCCCTATAGTTGGGGAAGCTGAATCCCTGAGCAGTGACATGATTTATCTGAGGTCACACAGCCTGTGGGTGGCAGGGCCACTAACAAAGGCCTGGGGCCTCCTCTCCTCCCAGTGTCTCATCCGTCCGTCTCCCCTACACGGAGCCCTAGTCCGTAACACTGGTATTCGTGTTACAGCCACACACAGAACCTCAGTGTTCCCCACAGTAACCACCCCCCAGGGACACAGGGCAGGGTTTATCATTAACCCCATGGTACACAGGAGGAAACAGGCTCAGCGAAGGAGAAGCCCGGCAGCCGTCTCACAGTGACCTCTTCTTCGCCTATTCATCGGTCACACTTATGCCCCAACATCCTGCCACCTTAGTTTGTCTGCACTGTCCATCTGTGAGTCCCCCAGACCAGACCCCAGGCTCCCTGACTCCTCTCCCCACCCCACCCCACCCCCGGGTCCCACCCCGACCCCCTCAGCCATATTACATTAGACAGCGAAATGCGGGAAGGCGGGGAGCAGAAGGATTGTCCGAGCTGGAGAGCAGGGCAGCCGGAGGGAGACAGGACAAACGCCCCAGTTTCTCTGGATCTAGGAAAGTGTCCTCACTGCCCCTGCCTGCAGGACTTCCCTCAGCGCTGTGAGCACCGGGGGACTGCGAGCCAGAGCCTTGAGGCTCCATACACCCTGTCCCCTCAGCACCCTCAGACACTAATCCAGAGGGCAGCCACGCTGTAACCCCAGACTTGAAGACCAGAGAAGGAACCAGAGAGCACAGCAAACCCTGGGCTTGGCGAACAAAATCTGACCTGGATTTTAGTCCACCATCATCCCCTTAGCCAGAGAACAACCTGTCTGACCATACCTGGTGGCCCTGGATGGGATGGATGGATGGATGGATGGATAGATGGATGGATAAGGGGGTCTATCCATCTTGTGCCACCTCCCCGTTGCAAAGCACAGACAGTTGGCTCATAACTGCGTCTCCCACCAGTACACCCAGTGGCCCCACCCTGACCTCACACCTGGTGACCCCAATGCTCTTGCTGAGAATGCACTCCGGAGCCTGTAGAGCTGGGAGTCTTCAGTCCTCCCTTGCGGGCCCCCTCCCATGGCCCAGTCCTGACACCTGGTGGTGCCTTTGGACTTCAGTCCCAGCTTTCATCCCGCTTCTCAATAACTCGCTCAGAGCTGCCAAACCAGCCTGGCAGCCCACTGGCCACCTGCCCTCCACTCTGGTTCACGCAGGCAGGGCCAGGCTCCAAACCGGGGAAAACCCACAGCTCACCTTGGGAGCCTTCCTTTCTCATGGGGTCACATCCCCTCCCCAACCCAGGCCCTCCAGCCAGGTCTACTGAGGAGCCCAGGACCACAGACCATCACAGAACATGCGGCCACAGATGTGCCCAAGGTCACACAGCGAGTGCCAGGACTTCCCTCTGCCCCAGGCCTGTGCTGCCTCCTATCAGGGCAGCGCTGGCGGTCACTGGGGTGAAGGGACGGCACACTGGGGAAGGAAGGAAGGAACCGGTGGGGGTCGGGGAGGCTGAGGGGGGCTAACTGCTGCAGGTTCAGGGGGCGGGGTCAGGTGGCCGCGGTGACACAGGCAAAATGCCAAACCCGCCCCCAGCAATTAGGATCCTCCCAGCTCCTACCCTCACCCACCACCGCCCCAGCCGGACCTCGCGGGAGGAGGGTGCCACCACGCGGCTGACCTTGGTACTGCGGAAGTCCCTTTGGCCCCCTCCACCGGTCTGGGGGTGCCAGCTCTTGGGTTAAGGCCCACTGACCTCTCCCCTTTGCCCGGGGCAGGACGTGCCCAGAGTGTCTTCGCCGCGCACATCCCCACCCTCTTCCCGCTCCGTCCTGCAGCCCAAACTCCTAGTCTAGGAAGACTTCCCTCCCCCAGAGAGCACAGCCCCTGACAACCCCACCGGGACCCAGCCGGCTGTGAGCCTTGGCAAGAGATTGGACTCTTCTGAGCCTCAGTTTCCTCACCTGTAAAGTGAGGGTGACAGCGGCACCTGCCGGATGCTGGGCCTGCGAGCACTGCAGGAGAGCCACGCGAGGGCTCTAATACCCAGCACTTCGCTGAGGCCCAGCTTCCCGGACACCTCGGCGGGGAGGGACAGGCGGAGGGGAGAGTCCAGGTAGAGCCACGTGAGTAAAGGCCCACGGCGAGAAAGAGCCCGGCCGCTTTGGCATGTGTGCCACCCCTGGCATATTCGGAAGCCGAGCTGGTGCGGCTCGGGTGAGTATGGGCTTGGGGCACGGGGGTGGATGGGCCAGAGAGCTGGCAAGGGAGGGGTCAGTGTTTTGTCTTGAGGGCAGTGGGGGCTCCCAAGACCGTTTCCAGGGAACGGACAGAACTAGATCTGCCTGGAGTTGGGCTGAGAGCTGGCGAGGACGGTGGGTTGGAGAGGGTGGGTCAGGAGACGAGGGGCAGCGGGCCGCCCGCCAGGGGAGAGAGGCCGGCAGCCTGAGAAGCTCAGGGACTCAACTATACTGGGGGGCCCTGGAGACTGACAGGAGGTGGGGGCAGAGGAGGGCATCTGTGGGGCAGCTGGGTGGGGGAGGTGTCAGCCACCAAGATGGGGCGCAGGGGCCTCCTGCTGATCTTATGTGTGATCTGGGGCAAGACACTGGCTTGTCCGGCTACAGTGACAGCCAAACCCCAGGCCGTCTCAGAAGCACATGATGACAGTGATTAAAGAAGCCCAGCAGCCACCAGGCCTTCCCTCCAGTCTGATTTGAGGCCTCTTAAACTCACCCCTAAGTTTGGTATCTTTCCCAGTGCCAGGCACACGCCACCCACACACCTCCCCCATGCCTGCCACATGCCAATCACAGGACCTCCACGTGTCATCCACGGGACCTCCACATGGCACGCACACATCTCCCACATGCCCTCCACATGCCAATCACGGGACCTCCACGTGTCATCCACATGACTGCCACACAGCACCACACACCCTCTGCACGCCCGCCACATGCCAACTACATGACATCCATGGGCCAGTCACAACCCCACTCATACACCCTCCCCAGGCCATCCACACACCCAGTACATGCCAACCACACGTCATCCCCACGCCACACGCTACTAGCCATATACCTTCCACGTGCCATCCACATGCTGTCTTCCTAGCATCCACACACAAGCCACATGCCATCTCCATGCCACCCACCACCTGCCACATGTCATCCATACACACCCACAAGCTTGCTGTCTGGTGTGCTCAGCAATTCCCCACCTCTTGAGAACCTGGCACCAGGCCAGAACCCAAAGACATGTGCCTGGGCCCCAGGCCACCTCATTCCCATGATGACGTGCTCCCCATCCCCCATAGCCTGACCAGCTCCTCACCTTTGCAGGTGCATCCCTCCCGGGTGATGACCTGACGGCAGATACCACAGGGCTTCACCTTCTTGAAGGTCTTCACCTTGAAGTGATGAGTCTTGGGCGCCTCCAGATCCTCTGGCTGTGGGGGGAGAGGCACAGTGATCAGGGTCTGGGCAGGGGAGGGAGCAGGGGATGGGTGTGGGGGTTGCCTCCGGGAGAAGTGGGCCAGGACTGGGGAAAACAAGAGGTGCCAGTCCCTTCCCGGGTGACAGGCCCCAGCCCATTTCTGGGAGGAGGTGCCCCAGGAAAGAGCTGAGTGGAACCGAGACTCCCACAGTCAGGTGGGTCAACATACTGGGACACTGATTTTAAATGGATTACGTGGGACACCTGGGTGGCTCAGCTGCCTTTGACTCAGGTGTGTGATCCTGGGTCCTGGGATCAAGCCCTGCATGGGGCTCCCCTCAGGGAGCTTGCTTCTCCCTCTGCATATGTCTCTGCCTCTCTCTGTGTCTCTCATGAATAAATAAATTTTTTTTAAATCTTAAATAAATAAATAAAATGGATCACACAATACAATTTTCCACATATACCATGTCGCTACAGTCCAGAAGGTTCTCTCAGGGCCGTCCCGGGCAAGATCCCCCTAAAGTGAATACTATCGTGGCTTCTTTTTTTTTTTTTTTTAAGATATTTATTTATTTATTTATTTGAGAGAGTGGGGGGTGCGTGCACGGGCATGAGCAGGGGGAGGGAGAGAACCCCAAGCACAGTCTGCACTGAGCATGGGGCCCCACGCAGGGCTGGATCCCACAACCCTGAGATCATGACCTGAGCCGAAATCAAGAGTTGCCGCTTGACCGACTGAGCGCTCCCCTGCCCCCCCCCCCCCGGGCGCCCTGCTATGATTGTGATTTCTAGCACCAAAGATTCGGGTTGCCGGCGTTTTTAACTTCCCCATGCAAGACATGCTCCATGTCCCGCTTCTGCCCTGGGGATCAACCTGTGGGATTCATCCACACGGCCACCCGACTGCGGCACTTCCTTTATCTGTCCTACTGCTGAGGGTCCTTGGCCTTCCTCCCCACGTCCCCGGAAGGCCACGTCCCCCCAGGTCTCTCTCACCCCCTCGCCGGAAGCCTCCTTCCACCTTTATTTTATTTTTGGTTCTTTGCATCATGAAAACATCAGCATGTCCAATCTCCTTTTCCTCACTACCCCAGCACACACGGGAGAGGAGCGGCGGGTGGGCGGGCGGTCCAAGCCTTCTGGAGGTCTCACCTGCCCCGAGCCCACTGCTACCACGGGACTCAGTTTCCCACCCTGGACAGCACCGGGTCGGGCACCACACCCCAAGCTCGGACAGTCTGTCCTCTGTAACCACGTGCAGGAACACACTCCGCGCCGCAAAGCCCTGCACCCACACTGCTTGGGAGCCCCCCCTCCCACCTGAGGCCCTCAGCCCAGGCACAGGCCGGGGAGCTCCCCACTCAGGGGCGCCCCGGGAAGCCGTCCTGGCTCGCAGGCACCACGCCTCTCGCCTCTCGGAGGCACCTCACCCTGGGATCCCACCGGATCCGTTTCCCAGCTTCGGCAGCAGAGGCCAGCAGAACACAGACATCGGCAGCTCTCGCTCTCGCTCTCTCTCTCTCTCTCTCTCTCTCTCTCTCCCTCTCGCCAGCACAGAGCTTCCTGACACCCATCTACACACCCAGATCCACACACAAGGCCACGATTGACGACAGACCCTGAGGTTCCGGGGGAGGGTTCTTCTTTCCCAATCTCCCTCCTTGTACCCAGTTCCAGAACCTCAGGGACAGGGGGCGGAGGGGCGACTTGTGTGTTCAGAGAAGGGAGGGAGACAGCGTCCCGCAAACCCAGCCCGTCCAGGACTCCTCGCTGAAGGCCCTGCAGTGGTGAGTCCTGGGGAAGAGAGGGGCTGAGACTCCAGAGACACAGAGAGAAAAACCGACAGCATGAGAGAGAGACAGAAAGCCAGAGAGACAAAGAGGCAAAGGGATAGAGAGGAAGGGAGAGAGACAGACAAGACAGACAGAAAGACAGAGCCACAGACACAAAGACACAGATAGAGAACGAGAGAGAAAAGCAACAGGGAGTCAGAAAGGAAGAAAAAGACCCAGATAAAGGCAGAGATGAACAAGCACATCCAGAAATAAGAGAAATTAGAAACAAAGAGACTATAAAGGGAACCAGGGAATCAAAGGGGCAGACAAAGGGACCCAAGAGCCATCCTGAACGGGCCCCAAAGGCTAACCGCGGGTTGTCCTGAGCATCACAATATGGAAAGATAGTAGCGGCTAAAATGGGCCCAAGCCGATATGTGAAATAAGTGAAAAAAAATTCCAAGACTGATGAGAAACAGAAGATTTACAAATCTCGAAGCACATCGCCACGCCACACTTAGAAATCACAAAAGGGGAAAAAGTAACTTTGCCTGGCAGGTTCCTGGTTAATCAAGGGATCAAAGCCAACGTGATCGGTAACGGGGTGAATGGAAATCACGGGGCGCCACCGAGGGGACGCGGTGAGAGCAGGACACCACCCCTGGCGCGTCCCTGCCGAACAGACACAAGCACAATCTCATCGTCATGGGGAAGCATCAGAGCAACCCGGATGGAGACACCGTCTACTGATGATGTGGCTCGGGATCATCCCAAGTGACAAGGTCACAGAAGCCAAGGGAAGACCGCGGAGATTTCCAGCCTGCTGGAAGTCTAAAGAGCTACGCCAGTCAAACGCCGGCGCTGACTCGGAACTGGGTTCTTCCCAGGCCCGGGAAGGACATCATGGGCCGGTGGGGTGGGGGCAACGGGCCGCGCGCTGCAGTGGGGTCCCAGGCCGAGACCGTGGTCGTGTGTCAGTGTCCGATCCCTGACTTTGCTGCCTGGCTTGGGTTCGGTAGGGGAACGTCCTTGTGGAGAATCAGAAAGCGCTGAGGGGTGCAGGGCACTGTGTCAGCAGCTCACTGGCAAACAGCTCGGAAAACGAGTCCCTTGCACTGCATTTGCCACTTGTCTGAAGTCTGAGACTATCTCAAAATTCAAAGAGAGGCAGACTGAGACGACCGGGAGGCAGGGACGGAGCAGCTGCGACAAAGCCCGGGCGAGGTGGAGCGAGCACAGGCGGTGCAGCCCACAGCCCGGCCCCAGCACTGGCCACTGGGCCTGGGTCCCACTCACCCAGGGGTTGGGGCCCAGGGGCTGTGCTTCCGCTGAGGGGGGGTGGGGCAGGGCACAGTCCTGCACTAGACCTCACTCAGGGTCCCCCATCCCACGACAAGGGGCAGTGAGCCGCCTCCATTCTGCAATCTCACCTGCCCCGTTTGCCTACCTCGGCCCCTGGCCCGCAGCCTTCCAGATAATCTCGGTCATAAACGGTCCGCATAGACGGTCCAGAGAGGGGGCCCCGCCCGAAGGCAACTGCAGCAGCCCGGCCCTGGGCTGGGGGGAGGTGCAGAAAGGGGGCTTGGGGTTCAATCTAAGGCCTGTCTCGGGGGAGGTACAGAAAGCCCCAAAGCCCAGTCTTCCCAGGCCTACCCCAGCCACCCCCAAGCCTGCCTGTCCCACCTCATGGAGTCCAGCAGAGCACCCCATTCCAGCTCACCCCCTAGACTTCTCCATCTATACCCCAAAGCCTGCAGAAGGAGGCCTACTGCCCAAAGCATAGTTGGGGCAGTGGATTCTCCCAAAGGGGGTCCCGACTGCCCAATGCACAGACTGGGAACAGGCCGAGCCTTCCAGGCTGACAAGCAAAAACACCCAGGCTTCTCCCCCGGGGCCCTGGGCTTACCTGCCCTGCCTGCCCAAACTCATAAATGTGAGTTTACAAAATCTTTCCCGCCCAGGCTTGGAGAACAGGAACAGGGTTTCAGAGACGTTGTCTGGCTTCACTCATGGCCTCTGTAAGCAGCTCATGGGCCAAGGCCCAGCAGGCTCCCGCCCCTCCCCTCCCCTCATTCTGGCTCTCTGGCTGAAGGAGCACTGCCACGGGAGTCTAGAGACCCGCTCTCTTGGTTGATGACCTTGACAACATCAGTGGCCTTCTCTGGGCTTCACAACCCCCAAATGGAGGTGATGGCTTTGGACGAGATAGTCTGAGCATCGAAAGAGCAGGGGAGAGGATGGGCCAGTTTGAGATGGAGGGGTTAGAGGAACTGGAGGTGGGACATGCTCATGGTTACAGAGAGGGGTACCTAATGAGATATCAGCCCTCCAGCAGAGGCTAGGGAACGCACAGGGGAGCAGGAGGCCAGCCCGGCCACCCCCAGGCAAGTGACCCCAGGCTGTGACCCCCACTCTGCAACCCTGGCTCCCCCACCCCCAAGATCCCCCCGACCCCAGCCATAAAATGGGTGTCTGGCAATTTCATGGAGTCATCCACAGAGGTCTGAAGGTTTCCCAGTTGGCTGGAGGAGAAAGTGTAGGGTGAGTGAGCCTTGTTATCTTCCAATATCTGAAGGCACTGGCATTGTAAGAATGCACCAGGCATGATGTGTGAAGTTACCGAAGGCAAAACAAAACTCGAGGGGGGAGGTGGGGGCAGAAGCCACAAGGGCGCACGATTAGACTCAAGGGGGCACAAGAACTTCCCAACGACCAACCATACGTTAAAACCCAGACTAAGAAGCAGCCGGGGGTGGGGGGGCTGGCACCTACGCTGCCCTGCCCTCGCCCAGGGTTACTCTGCAGATACAGGCAGCAGATGTGAACCAGCCCTTGAAGTGCAAAGCTCTGCGCGGGGGGGTAACCACCCCTTGGGATGAGGCGCGTCATCCTTTATCCTGACAGGGTGCAGAGAGCCCCACAAAGCCCTTCCCACCCTTCCCAGCTGGATTGGCTCCTCAAGGACCTGGGGGATACTGGGAGGCAGAGAAGGCACAGCTGCTGCAGGAGCTGCCGGTCTCCCCAACACCCACCTCCCTCGAGAGCCAGGGCCCAGAGAAGGGCAGGGGTCCTAGCCCGGAAGTCAGTCCTCCCCACCCTGCCAGCCAGAGCCCCAGCCCTGTGACCGGCCCACCCAGCATCATAGGGCTTTCCTGGGCCTCAGGGGGATCCTGGCCTTCCCACCCTCCATTCAGCAAGGCCTGCCTGCCACAGAGTCCCAGCCAGAGGGGCGGGC